CAGGAATTAGTGTAGGTGATATAGGCGGGGTAGATGTTTGGTGCTATACCTTCTACTGGTGGACCGGGCACTTTGACATCGCCTTGTACGTGGAAGAGGGTGTAGATAGAGCGGCAGGGTATTTGGATAGCTAGGAGGAGGCGATCGGTCACGCGCAGCTTGAGAGGCAGCTGCTGGGGGCTTACGAAATTAACTATTTCTACTCGTTGGGGTGTAGGACGTATCCGCAAGGGGGTAGGCCGGTCCCCACTATTCCGGATGCCTTCCTGGACGGGTCGGACGAGTGGAGAGCACTAATTCAAATCATAGAGGAGATAGTCCTAGGGGATGGTTAGAATCATAGAGGGTACTGAGGAGGAAGGGGTTCGGATAGAGAAGGCTGATTTAAGCAAAGACCGAGAGTGCTTCAGCGTCCCCTTGGACCACCGCACGGAGCGGTATCTAGCTGGTTGCGAGAGCGGGGTAGAACTAGAGAGAGGGGTTTTTCTTTGGGCTCGTTTCGCGGTAGGAACCTGGGAAGGGGATAGGTGGTCCCGGAACAGGCCCCAGAACGGGAAGAGACCCAGGTGAACAGTGATCCGTGCGGAAGGCTGGGTCGAATACATCACATATTTGGTCCTGGGGTGGTACAGTGTGGATCATGATCGATTTTGAGGCAGATCTTTGAGGCTGACCCCCTTGGACACTGCCCACCCGTCGAGGTGAGGGTGACCTGCGCGCGAGACGAAGAGTACCCCCGTGTCACAGGGTGCGTCAAGGCCATATTCCCATCATTTGTTTTCCGAAGGGTGAGCGGGAAGGAGGAACGGTACGACAGGGTAGTGCGGTCCATAGTGCGGGAAAATGGGTGGCAACTCTCTGTTAGGTCACTCCATTGGTGCTACACCTATTGCGTGGATAACCCGGTGCCGTACGGGATCAAGGCTTGCAGGATACGTGTCGGGATCCTTAGGGACTCCGCCCGGGACCGCGAGGGAGGAAGAGACTACGGTTACCAAAGGGTCTTCGGGGGTGCCACAGAGGGTCTTCTAGATGAATGGTGTTTCATGATAAAAAGCGGGGATGCTTCTTAGAGTCCCCATTAGAAGACCGTGAGGCCCTTAGGCTGATCCCTAGCAACGGGGAAGTCCCTGATTGGGAAAGGGTAGAAGAGGGTCAGTCCACGGTCAGTGGGGAATTTGTGTGGGTGGAGTCCAAGGAAGTAGAGGGCCAAGGTGTTGGACGGAGCCTTGAAGTGACCGCGGTTATTTTCGTAGCACCGGAAGCCTGGGCGAAGCTTGTTGTACCCCTAGTTCTGGGACAAGGGGGTGGGCTGGAAAAATTATTGCGAGAAGCAAGAGAGGTAAGAGGAGAATGGATGAGTAGGGTTAAAGAGCGATTTGCATTCGTACCCGTGGAAAAGGAGAGGTTCGCGAAGGAAGGAGAGCTTCCAAGGTCGAGTTACCCCTTAACTCTGAGGGTGCCGTCTCAAGTGTTCCCTAGGACAAACGAGGGAAAGATAGTGTGTCTTCTAGAAAGGGGTAGGAGTTTGGGTCTTACCTTCTGGGCCCTGTGGATACTCTATACGCACTGCATCGATCAAGGTATCCCGCCGCGCAGGAAACTCTGGGGTATTTTTCGAAGACTGGGTTCTCTAAAGAAGACCTACACTCTCTTTCCGGAAGATTATCACAGGTGGGTCCTTAGGACGACGATAGCAGATGGTGAAGTTCATGCTCAATGAAGACGGGGTGGTAAAATCGATAGAGGCCAGTGACGCCAAGAAGGTTTTAATTCCAGGAGACCCTCAAGTGAATCCTTATTGGATGAGCGTTGAAAAGGGGGGATTAATCAGAGAAGGGGCCTACGTGTGGGTTCGAGCGCGAAGGCTCACTTGGAAGGAGGGTGTGGAAAGAGGAGGTCCACCCGACCTCAGTCGCTTCCTAGAGATCCGGGCAACCATTTTTTTCGACTAAGAGAGGTGGACCGAAGTTTGGAGAGGTTTAGTGACCGGGCAGCTTACGCACTTTGAGTACCGAGAGTCCGCCAGGCTGTTGGCGAACAACCTGGTGCTAACTGACTACGAGGAAGGGACTTTCGAGTCGTAGTCCCTAGTTTCCTTCGCCGAGCCCGGAGAGGTCCCTCGCGCTTCCGGGGTCCTTCACGCTAACCTGCCCCAGTTCGTGGCCAGTTCGTTCCTAAGGGACCCAGAAGAGAGAGTAGTAGCAGTGCTTAGGGCGGCTCGAGAATCCGGGGTGCGGGCTAGGGGTTTGTTCTGGCTTTATACTCGGTGCGTGGACGTGGGAATCTCCCCAAGGAGTGAGCTCTCCGCCATATTCGAAAGATTGAGGGGGTTTGAGGGACTCCGATCCCTCGTCGCGGACGTTCCGTACGCCCGCTTCTTCGGAGAAGAGCAGGTGGCTAACCGGAGGGGTTTCGAGGGCCGATGATAAGGAGGATTCCGGGAACTCTCTGGGCGTCCATAGAACCCGTAGAGGATACCGGAGAGGTTATTAGAGTCACTCTGCCTAGGGCCCGGCTGGCTGAGCCAGCCAGGACTCTCCTACGAGAAGAGGGGGAGACCCGACGAGGTAAAGCGTTCGTACGCTTCGCGGTGAGTCGCCAGGGACAGGTCGTAGTTGGAGAAGCCAGGATATTCCTTTCGAAGGAAGGCTTTGTCGAGATAACGCGTAGCTTGCGGACTGGGCAGGACCCTCTCTGGGACGCTCAAGCCGTGAGGGGCTAGCTAGGGGAGTTAGTAGAGGAGTTGAGACCTCACGAAGGGTGCGAAGAGGAATATCTAGTGACCTACTGGGGTTGGGAGGAAATACCGAGGTTCATCTCCAGCGAGCCGGTGGGGGTCCCCCGTTTCGTTTTTGAGCGGGTTTACCCCTCCGAGGCTGTTAAGAGGGCAGTAGGAAGAAGGGTTTCCATCCTAAGTCAGTTCAGGTTCACGGGATCAGAGCTACACACCTTGTTAACTTGGTGTTTTCGGGATCCCTGTAGAGACGATTGGTCGACTCTAGAGGACCTGGGTTACGCATTTGAGGGGTGGGGTCGACACGCGAGAGAATCTAAGATATCGTGGAGGTACCTAGGCAAGATCTGCGAGGGAGAGCTGGCGGGGCTAGACCCCTCAGACTTGATTCGGATAGCGATTGCGTGTCGTCGACGGAGGTTAGGGGATGACCGAGCCGGCCCTTGAGGAGCTTGTGGGGTTGGATAGAGTGAGGGAAAAAGTTCACAGGATCCTTGCTCTGTGCTGGGAAGAAGAAAGGAGGGCTAGGCCCGGGTCCTTAGCCAGGATCAAGCTGCTTGAGATTGCCACAATCGCTATTCTCGACGAGGTCACGATAGACCTTCTCTCGCGGTGAGGGGATGAGAGTCACGTTCGTCTCCAATAGGGTTCGTTGGGAGTTAGAGACCTACGAGGACGGAAGCGAGGTTAGGGTCGAGGGGGGTGCGGAGCTTAACCCAGAATTAGGAGAGGACCGAGTGGTTCGCGCCGAGACAGAGTTTCTAGTGGAGGTCCGACGGCTGGCCTTGTGGAAAAAAAAGAGTTGGACCTCACTGGCTGCCTTTTCAGTCCACATTAGAGACGCGAGTGGCGTAAGGTTCTCAAGGGCTTGGAGAGAGCCTTTGTTGGAGGTAGAAAGAAGATTCAAGGACTCTAGGTATTTAGGAACACCACTGACATCTAGGACGCACCTTGTAGAGACCCGATTTTGGGATAGAACTGGGGAATACGAGGAGGCTTTGCGCCAAACCTTGAGAGGGGACAGGGAGACAGGTCGAGCTAAGTGCGAAGACTCGTTGGTCGAGACCGCCGAAAGGTTGGCAGGCGTGAGGTGAGGCTCCTATGATTAGATACGAAAGGGGGGACCCTTACGGCACTTTAGAAAGGGTTTGGACGTAGGCTGGGAGATATGGAGTAACTCTTCCGATAGTTAGAGGAGAAGGAGAGGTGACTACCGAGTTCTTCGAGATTTACGAGCAAGAGACGGTGGTCAGATTCTCAGTAGCATCCGAGGGGAACCGCTGCACGAGAAAGGCAGAAATCTTTTTATCCCGTGACGCCCGGCTAATCTTCGCAACCGAATTAGCTGAAGGGAAAGATCCTCTAGGCATCTCCGAAAGATTGATAAGGTAGAATACCGAGGGAGGGAGGAAGTTTCGAGGGCAGCCCACGGGAGGACTTGGCACATCCCTACCTGGGCCTATCGGCTACTCTATGCTGACGACGAGACCGTGAGGAAAGTCCGATTGAGGGGTCAAGTGATAGAAAAATTCCCTCTGGGAGAAGACGGAGGCCACGAGCTATTCACCCAGTGCTGGGAGTCGAGAAAAGACACCGACTTCGAGTGGTGGGCCCGCGTTGGGGAATTCATCAAGCCCCTGTTCTCCGGGCAGGCGGGTGATGTGCACAGGGATCTGATTAGGAGGTGCGCGCAAGAAGGGGTTGGGGGCATTTCGGACCTTGAGATCGCTAATCTTGCATTGGCCGCTAGCGAGGAGAAGAAGCTGAGAGATTCTTGGTGGACAGTGACCAGTGAGGGATCGGAAGGAGAAGGGGCTGACGAGGATTCGAGTGAGGAGAAGGGGGGATCGGAGGAGGAGAAAAACTCAGGTTGTAACGGAGACAGTGGTGAGGAGGACGAGCCAGGTAGTACCACGGACGATAGTGAGGGAAGCGACTAGAAATAGCCAATAAAGGTGTATGGAGAGTGAAGTAGGAACTGGTCTCCCTAGTCCGCCGGAAACCACTGAAAGAAGGGAGATCGTGAAGAGCCCTGAATTGGGGGCCAGTCTAAGTAGGGTAGTGGAGGAAATGATAGGGGAGGCGGAGACACTAAATAGGGCCGAAGGGGGTCCGGATATGGCTCCAGGAGGAAGGCAAGCCTCGGAGGGGCAAAGGGCTGGCACGGAAATGCGAGTGCACCGGGATGTGGGGCCGTGTGTGCCGGTAAACGAAGGGGTAGCCGAAGCCGCGAGAGGCGTTCCGGTGGAGTCCCGGTGGGCTGACCTGATGGATGTGGAAGCAAGGTTGGAAGAAGCCCGGGAATTTCGTAGAGATGGACAGGGGTATCGACCACTTAGGGGGGAGGAAGGGGAGTGTCAGCACAGGAGGGACTTGAGAGAAGGGAGGTCAGCAGAGGCTAGCGGCAGGCCGAGGAGATGGGACGAAAGGGTCCCCGAGGCCGTCACCAGCGCAGGCCTTAGTGGGGCCGAGATCTGGTATGGAGGTGCGAGTGTCTGGGCGAGAAGGGGGGATCGAGGGGTCAAGAGGCCTTCCTGTAAAGTCTCGGTGGGCAGATTTGTCGGACGCAAGAATGGGGGGAGCTCGAGAATTCCCACGAGAAAGGGGGGGGTACCGGCCACCCCGGAGAGAAGAGGAAGGGGGACCAAGTAGAAGGGGCCTTAGAGACGAAAGGCCAGCGGAGGTAGGTAGTAGGCCACGGAGATGGGCCGTAAGAGAAGCGGATGCTGCATGGGGCCCCTATGAGATAACGGGCAGAAGTCAGGGGGTGGAGGCCTGGAGAAGCTTAAGGGGGCAGGGCCACACTCGATGGGAGACGGATTGGCCGGAAGAGCGGGGCCGCTACGGGGAGGACCCCTGGGAGCCACCAAGACCTCGAGGCCGGGTAGAAGAGCCCGATCCCTCGTGGTACAAGCCATACGATCCGACAATCGATGGGCCAATGGAAGGTCCTTATTTTCGCCGATACGACGACCGACGGGTGCCCTATTACGACGTCAACCTGAGTCTGGAGCCGCTTTTCTTCGACGGACGAGATGTAACCGGATTCGTGGAAAAGTGGGAGAGCTATGCTTACCGTAAAAGATTCTCCGAAAGAGAGTGGATGGACTATTTTATCCAGCATTCGGACCCCGAGTTAGACACTGCGATCCGAGCTATCTACCCTTCCGACGGGCGATGGAGGACCTTCAGGGCAAGCCTATTGCAGACTTTCGTCTGTGATGATCTGATCCCGACCGAGGAAGGCTTGCGACGAATTACAAGGGGGGAACGGGAGAGTTTGGTGGCCTTCACCCGAAGGTTCAAACGCCTGTCCCAGACCCTAGTGGACAGGGAAGTGTTGTCTGAAGTAGATAGGTGCGTGATGTTCATGCTGCACCTACTCGAGGAGAAGAGGAAAGAGGTCCTTGAAAAGGCCCTAAGGGATTCCGCCAATTTCGAGAAAGTCGCGGAGGTGGTTTTCACAGGGGGAGGGGTAGACGTAAGAGAATACATGAAAGAGACCTTGGACATGGCTCTCCGCAACATGCGAGGGACACGGAATGATGGTCCAAGGGGAAGCGATAGACCGCCCCCTGGTCCCCCTGTTCCCCGGTGGGGAGAATGACCGACCGGATGGAGAAACGAATCAAGTGGCCAAGGAGGTTGGAGGAACGATCGGGAGATGGGAGGGAATCGTGGTTCCGATTGGGGGAGTTCCCATTGGAAGGATGCTAGGGATGGAAGGTGGGGAGACGCCTCTCAAGCAAGGGTCCCTGGACCGCGACCGGAGGTTAGAGCGCCTCCACCCCCAGCACCACCACCACTGGCTCCGCCTGCGCCCGTAGCGACAACCTCACAAGGGGGTCCTCGCCCCAACAACCCCCAAGCTCGGAGCGGGTGTGTCTACTGCAATGAAGAAAATCACATCAAGCGGGACTGGCCTTATCTCACGGAGGCTTTAAGATTGGGAGTGGTCAAGCTAAATGAGAACAAGTGGGTTGTGTGGGGAGATAGCGGAGAGGCGGTCTCCTTTTACCCATCAATGAAGGTGAACGTGGACAAGAGGGTGGCCCTTCAGGAGGCTAGACTAGGAAAGAAACCGGAAGTCGGAAGCTCCTCCAACACTGTTCACATCCAAATGGTGGAGTCACCAGGAGGGTTGTCCATTAGGGAACCCCAAGTATCAAGCATCAAGTTCATAGATACCCAGCTCGAGGAAGAAAGGCCCTACCTAAGAGTAAGGACACAGGTCGGGGCCGAGACATCCGAGAACCAAGCAAGCGTGACGGAAAGAAGTAAAAAGCCGCGACAATGATCAGCCAATGACCGACGCGAAAGCGGTGGAGGAAAAGAAGGAAGAGCCCACCTCGCCAAAATCGCCTAAGAAAAGGGGGCCCAAAAAGTTCGAAATGAAGTGCACTCTGGACGAGATAGACACGGTAGCGCCTCTTAGGAGAACTCTGATGCAGCCCATGCAGTGCACACTTTTGGAATATCTAGCCGCAAGCAAAAGTGCCAGGGAGGAGCTCCTAAGCATCACTAGGAAGGTGAGAGTCCCGATCGTTGGGGGACCCACGGTGCCGGTAGAAGGCCCGGCCAAGGAAGAAGTGCAGGCTTCCCGTATCATCCTGGAGGAACTACCTGCCAACTTCTTCTCGGGAGAAGAGGCCAAGAAGTTTTATATGCAAGGTAGCGGCCAGCTCCAGGCGGTAGTAAGTGCAAGAAAGATGAGGGCTCTAGTAGATAATGGGTCCAAGTCTACGATTTGCAGGGACTCCATCGCGGGAGAGCTGGGCTTGGAGATAAATCGAGGGGTGTCGATGTCAATGGTAGTGGCCGATAACAAGTTGCAACCGGCCGAAGGGGTGTGTCATAGCCCCGTGATTGAGGTCGTTGGTGTAGAGGCCATAGTTCCGATCTTTTCGGTAAAAGAATGCTCCTCCGAATTGATCATCGGAAGGACCTGGCTGAGCGCGGTGCAGGCAACCACAATTGATTTGCCGGATGGAAGTCAAACCCTCTCGATCCAAAGTCCTGATGGAATCCGAGTGGTCTTAAAGACCGTAGACGCGCAAGATGAACGTAACCGGACCAGCCTTACTAGGCACAAGGGGAGCCAGTCGAGGGTGTGTCGAGTCCGCCTAGAAGAAGTGCCCTTGACGGATAGGGGACCCAAGGGGGACCAGTTGGAGATCGAGGACGTGGGGGATAGGATTGTAATTAACAGTATGGGGTACGAGAAGGAGGACGAGGAGGAGGAGTTCGGTGGGTGCGTGAGTTTGTCTTTTTTGGAGGGATTCCCCTAGCCGGCGGAGTTAAGAAGCACAAAACCGTGGCGAAGAAAGTAAAACCCGCCGCGGTCAGCCGGGATAGAACGGGGGAAGCTACGATATCGGAAGAGGAGATAGCCGATATCATCCGGAAGAGGAAGGCAACGAAGAGGCAAAGGATAACGGCCGATAGACTGGCCAAAATGGATATAGGAGATGGAAATCTCACGGAGGAAGAAAAAGCGTTCATAGCAATGACCTTAAGGGGCTGCGATAAGGCCATTACCTTTGATGACTCGGAGAGGAAGAGGATCGACCCAAGGTATGGTAAGCCGGCCCGGATCCACACGGTCCCCCACGTACCTTGGAAGGATAGGCCTCAGTGGAAGTACGCTCAGAAGGAGAAAGAAGAGATAGTGGCCTTCCTCAAGGAAAAGATCAGGACGTTCGTCGCGGAATCTTGCGAGAGTGCCTACTCCAATAAGTGGTTCTTTCTAAGGAAAGGGGGTAGTAACAAACTAAGGTGGATCCAGAACCTCCAAAAGACCAATGCGGTCACCATAAGAGACATGGGGTCTATACCTGAGGCCGACTTGCTAGCAGAAGGATCGGCGGGTCGCTCAATATACTCTATCTACGACCTCTTCTCGGGATATGACGAAATTCCCTTAGATTACCGGGACAGGCACATGACCGCCATGCATACGCCTTTAGGGCTGGTTCAAATGATGGTAGTACCGATGGGTTGGACCTGTCTCTTATACACATCTAGATGTGTATAAGAGACAGCAATATACTCTATCTGCGACCTCTTCTCGGGATATGACGAAATTCCCTTAGATTACCGGGACAGGCACATGACCGCCATGCATACACCCTTAGGGCTGGTTCAAATGATGGTAGTACCGATGGGTTGGACGAATGGGGTGGCCGTGTTCCAAAGGGTCATGATCGCGGTCCTCAAGGAGTTCATACCGGAGAAGGTGGAGGTCTTCCTGGATGACTTCCCGATAAAAGGGTCGGTCGAGCGGGATGAGACCGAGGTTTTCCCGGGGGTTAGGAAGTTTGTGGCCGACCACATGGGTGATGTCAGGAGCGTCCTTGAGAAGCTGGATGATGCTAATCTCACGGTGAGCGGGACTAAAAGTCATTGGGGCGTATCCTCCATCAAGATATTAGGGTTCATTTGCGATAAGGAGGGGCGGAGGCCCGATCCCGAGAAATTAGTAAAATTGACGACTTGGCCTTCACCGCTCAAATCCATGACAGAGGTCCGGCAGTTTCTAGGGGTTGTGGACTACTGGAGAATCTTCATAAAAGCCTATGGAGAGAAAGCAGAACCCCTGAGAAGACTCCTCAGGAAATCAGAAGGATGGGTTTGGGGAGAAGAACAAACAGTGGTCATGGAAGCCTTGAAGGGGGAGTTCCGCGAAGGTGGAGAGGTCCTAGGAGTCCCGTTTTTCGAAGATGAAGAGAGTGGCCTGTTCATAGTATCCACGGACGCGGGACCTCACTCGGTGGGGGGCCTCTTGTCTCAAAAGGACGGAGACGGGAAAGAGAGACCTTTGCGATTCGAGAGCCGGACCTTGAACCCCGCAGAGAGAAATTATAGCCAATTCAAGAAGGAAGTGTTGGGGGTACTGCATTACCTAAAAGCCTTCCGTCACTATCTATACGGACGACGATTTCTCCTAAGAGTGGACCTGACAGCAGTGACCGTTGTCCTCCAAAAGGATTTCTCACTGACAGATCCTACCATCGCACGCTGGATGATCCATATTAGGCTTTACGACTTTAGGGTCGAGAGGATATCGGGGACCATGAATCAGGTCGCGGACGGCTTGTCCTGGCTTCCCATTCGTGAGGAAGACTTGCCTAGGCTTAAGGAACTCTGGGCCTCTACGACAAGTCCACGAATGCGATTGGTGAAGAGGCAGGGGGTGATGAATCAATCTCGGGAGGAAGGGGCAAAAAGCGAGGATAAAAGAGGGAGGCGACGTGCAACGGGGGGAGGCGCACGCAGACGCACGGAGTGCTCGTGGGCTCCTACTACGCTCAGCACGGGTTTCGCGTCCAGGAGGGAGAGAGAGAGAGGGAGAGAGAGAAGGGAGCAGAGCGCACGTTCGGTCGAACCGAGCCATCGTACGAGGCGTCACCATCGCTCGTTCAGCCAAAAGAAGCGTCGCGTCAGCAGCATCGCGAGAGGTGTCACCGGCGCAATCGTTCGGAGTAATTTGTTCAGTCGGGCGGGTCTTCCCCTTCTGATGGGGTGACGCCAGAGCTCGAGCTTGGAAGTGCTACTGTTCAGGACACTAGCAAGAGACCCAGGGGGGGGGGTCTCACCGGCACTCACATCTGGACCGTTCGTTCAGCCCTCGCACGAGGTCTTAGCTCCTCTCGAAGCTCGCTGTCACAACACACTCGGCACTGGCAGCGCCCGCATTCGGTGACTCGTTCAGTCAAGCCAGCCCTCATACGAGGTGGTTCCAGCTCTCGAGTACGGAAGCGTCCCCCACCCGGGGCGTCTGTTTCCCGGGGCCGGCCATAGCTTGAGGTGGGGCTGACTCTCGAAGCTCGGGGGTGCTTTCGTTCAGAAGCGACTGACGGAGGTCGCGCCAGCTCTTGCACACAGGGCCTTCGTTCGGCACCACTCTGGGTCCTCATTCGAGCTCGGAGAGACTCTTTCCCCCGCGGGAAAAGGGAGTCTTCACCCGAACTGGACCTGCATGAGGACACGCCCTCGCTCTAGTTTGAAGCGATGCTCTTTCGGGCGCGACGCCTCAGGGGGGGCATACCCGCGTACAAGCTCGAGGTAAAGAACAGGCGTATTGGCCAGATAGAAGAGAAGCCGGAGATGTAAAAAGGGAAGAAGGGAGAGAGAGGAAGAGAGAAGGAAAGAGGGAGCGAAAAAAGAAGAGACGGAGAGAGAGAGAGAGACAAAAGGAGAGAGGGAGAGAGAAGAGACGGACAAAGGGATCGAAAGAGAGAGGAAGGGGAAGGAGAGAGTAAGAGAGAGAGAGAGGAAGAAACAGCAGCCTCCATTGGCGAGAGAAACAATTAAACTTGGAATCCACGGAGAGCCTGTGCTGCTCCTTCGACTTCTTTCACCTACTTGCATTTTCGAATAGTAAGAATCTAGTCGGGACTTGAAGGAAAGTGCACCTCAATCTTGAATTTGTGGTTCGGTCGGGCCGCGGTTCCTATTTTGTTTTTGAATAGCAAGAGTCTGGTTGGGTCTTGGGGGAAGAAGCGCCTCAATCTTGGGTTCGGTCGGGCCGCGTTTTCGATTTCGTTTCCGAATAGTAGGAATCTGGTCGGGTCTTGGGGGCAGGAGCACCTCAACCTTGAACCTGGGTTTCGGCCAAGTCGCGTCTTCAAGTTCGTCTCGGGAGCACCTCAACCTTGAACCTGGGTTTCGGCCAAGTCGCGTCTTCAAGTTCGTCTCGGAGTTGTAAGTATCTAGTTGGGTCTTTGGGGCAGGTCCGCCTCGAACTGCGACCCGACCCAGACTTTTCTACGAAGCTTTGAGCCTTCACTCTGCGGGCGACCGAGCTCATAGTTCAGATCCCTCGTTTCTTTTGTTCCCTTTTTGAGCTTTGAATCTGTACTCTACGGGYGTCGAGTCCTTGTTTYTTTTKTKYTTTTTTTTTGCAGCTCTGA